CGGGGCATTGTGTTTTGTTTTTGTTCTTTTTTTTATTTGTTTGTATTTTCTCATATACTCTGTGTGTCATAGGTGCTGCTCTAAAATACTCCGGAAAGACAAGTCGAACGCTGGACAATAATTTAACTACCCTGGACTTTTCCTTCGATGTGAGAGCACACTTATGTCCTGACTATTATTGAAAAATTGTTGAAAAACTAATAAAGATAATGTTGGAAAAGAAAATCATTTCCAGATAAAGCTGATATCTACAGACACGCCAGCTGACAGCTTTCCGAGGGCCCAGAACAACACAGTCTTTTTGGGCCCCCACTCTACACCTGTACCCCCTCTCTCCTGGGCCTGAGACAATTGACCCCCTACCCCTCGCTCTCGACGGGCATGTCTGCAGAAACTGTTGTCTCCTTTAGATTCAGAGTAGTTGTATGAATGAATTCTGAAGCTTTTCACTGTGTAATATTCTAATATAACCCAAATCCTAATTAAGCCTAATCGTCTTTAACAATCCCCTTCATTTAGCTGTTGCTAAAGGACTGTTGCTATAAGCATGCTTGGTGTTGATTCAATGAGTTGATGCAATCAGCTGCTTTTCCTTATATAGAAAAAAAAAACAATCTGATTGTGTTACCTGTATAAATTGAATTGAATAAAACTTCTTTTCCTTGAATAAAACTTTTCTAATTGCAGCTTTTCTCTGTGTGAGTCTCTCCTGGTTGACATTGTGTTTCTGTCTTTTACTTTATTAGTTGTAATTGTAATTACAATTACTGTTGTAATTGTAAAAATAAAAAATACTTTCTGTCAATGTAGTGCATTCTAATATATCAGATTTTATCCTCACACAAAAAAAATTGTATGTATGAACATTTACCATGATACAGTATGTCAAAGCTGGATTCTCAGAAAGCTTGAAATAATCAATACTGAATTATTTGTTTAATTTTTGATTTATGTGTTACATTAGTAATATGAACCTGTTTAAATATTCAACAGAATTATCACATTTTTGATATATTAAATTAGAGTTGGGAGCTATTCTATCTACAATTTAGTTAATTAGCATGTTTAATCTCTCTTGCCTGAAAATAATATTCTTTGTGCTTTATAGCTCCTGTTGTACAATATTTGCTTCTGATTGGTTGATAAGCCCCCTGCGATAACTCCTCCCCTAGAACCCTAATCAAAGTTTAGATTTTGTTGTCATAAATGTTTACGTTCAGATTCTATGCTACATTTGGAGTGTTGGCCTAGTGGGCTCTGAGAAGCTTGAAAGTACCCGGTTCGATCCCCACTGCCTCCAATCAGGGTTCCTGACAATTTCCCTTAACCCCCGCCGCACAATGGCAGCCCACTGCTCCCTGAGGGGATTGATTAAATTAACAATTAACTTTCACACCATTAAGTTGTTTAGGAAGTTCCGCTCTGCTTATATACACCTTAGAGTATCATTGGTACATCTGTTAGCCTGGTTCACAGAGATGTTTGGTCACATGCAAAAATATGTGAATTGGTTAAAACCTACTGAGCATGCTAAAACTTGTTTTAAGTTGGTTTGACAAGGGAGAGAGCTTGTATTTTTTGTCTTATATGTGCTTTTTTATGTATTATTCTATATACAGATTTTGTATTCCAAGCCTGCATTGACTCAAAACCTCCCTCAGCCCTCCATTAGACCAACATCTCACTGCCAACCTATGTGATGAATGTCCGTTTTGTTATTTTTGTGTAGCAGTCACGTTCTGTGTGCAAAGTAAATAATATAAGGATCTAAAACAAAACTAGCATGTTTGAATAATAATAATGATATATTGGTCCTTAAGGTTGAATATTATTGACACTCATAGTTGATTTTTTAACAAATCATAAAATGCATATCAGAGCCATTCTTTTCCTCTACATTTTTAATTAATTAATTATGCAGCTATATAGCATTTTCAAACATACTCTATGCTTCTCAGACCAAACTGGATATTTAAATAAATTATCATACTGTACTCCAAAAATGCTTCTTTTATTTATAACGACTTGATAAACCGTCAGTGCAACTCAGCTACAAGCACATTCCTCTTTGTTTGGTTTGCTCAGGGGCACTGAGGCAGTGAGCATCCCCTCCCCTTGGCAAATTTTACAGCACATTGTTTTCAGTTCACAGGTTTGAACTGAAAAAGCTTCTCAGGACTCCTCCATGTCCTTCAGGCAGTCCTCTGTGACCCTGCCATTCGTTAATATGGCTCTCAGATTGCTGGCTGAGGCTCTGTGTCATTTAGTCTTTTTGAATGTGACAAGCTACCATTAATTTGCTGAAATATCTTGTGCAGACAGTTCACGGCCCCTAGCATCGCCGGCCCGCTATCTCATCACGCTAATCTGCAGTCAACAGATGCCGTGGATGATGCCATTTACTGGATTTCTTTCCCCCCCTTCTTTTAGGAAACCATTTGCCTGCACTACCATTTTCCCCCCCCTATCTGTTAGTTATTTTGATTAAATGCAATGTTCTTTGCAGTCGGTTTGATTTCCTCTTTTTGGCACTCGGTTCACAGAGCCATGACATTGTAAGGGATTAGTTTAGAGGAGCACATTTCCAAAAGTCCAATACAGATGGTGTAAAGTACACACACACACCAATGCTGAGTGCAAAGTGTTTACTTCTCACAAGTTAGTTTCAAAGAGTTTGTTAACACAGGAAAAACTTCACTGACAGCTTTCTTTTCAAATCAACATGAATTCAGTTTCTCTGTCCAATGAGAGGAGCAGAGTTGATTCTGAATCACCCCATTCTTGTTTTTGTATTCTTATTTTGATTCTCTAATCAGGCTTTGAATTTAAGCCTTGTGCTTAACAGCAGGGGCCTGTTTCAGAAAGGAGGTTAAGTGAAAACTCTGAGTTTGTTAACGCTGAAATGAGGGAAACTCTGGGTTTTCTGTTTCAGAAAGGGAGGTAAGTTAAACCTGAGAAAGCAGAGTAAGTCAAGCCCGTTTCTGAAAGAGAGGTAACTTATACTCAGAGTCAGTTACCATGGGAATTTACTCTGTGAACCTAACCTGGTCGGGAGCAGGTTTTCTTCAGAAAATCCAGAGTTTATTTTGGTCTCCTCCCCTTTTTTAAAGAGGAAGTGGTGTTTAAACACCTCATTGATTCTTTGGGGACATACAGTATTCATTGCACACATTTCAGTCACGTAGAGCGCATCAAAGGGAATGAAATGGTATGTCCTTTTATGGATGATCTTGTTTGTAAAGCCAGGTAGCTACTCTACTCCCATGATGTGCTCAAGGCTTACCTGCTTGAAGTATGTTTTTATATTTCATTTTCAGCTGCTGCCATGTTCTTTTGATGCCTGCAGGATTGTACCTATCTATGAAAACTAAATTAGGTTTAATAAAATACTGTTCTTCCAGTTTCACCTCTGATATTATAACAGTTGGGTAAGTTACTCTAAAATAGTTCTTAATTACTAACTACAAATTTTATCTTCAACAAGTCTAATTAGATTAATGTAATAATTACTGTCTCTAGAAGGTATTGGTCTACTTACTAATTTGTTTTACTTACTTATTAATTACTTTCTAAATCCCAAATCAACCTCAACCACTTGAACAATACAAGGAGAGACAAGAAACTGCACTTCTAATGCTTTCAAATAAACAATATTCAATTGCATGAATTAATCTTAAATTGACCAAAATGGGTGTAACTAGAGGGAGAAAGTTCAAATCAAAATATACCTTTTAAAAATTGATATTAAATCCACTATTGTTTTATAGTCTTTAATTTAATTACAGTATTTATATGACTTAAGTAACTTAATTCATTACACCCAACACTGTATAAAAGTAATTAAAATGTAAACTTACGCATTGACTCGAGCAGCTATTTTCACCAAAGCTAACTCTCTCTCGTTCGCCGCTGCAGCCGTGTTGCTTTTTTTTAAATACATGTTCAAATTCTGCATATGCTTGCATAAGCACATCCAGTTCTGCTGATGAGAAATATGCACAAATTTTTTGTCTGACGCTGTTGCCATGGTGACTCGTAATATCTGTGCTCCATTGATAGTGGCTTTTTATAGTTGTGGTGCACACGCTTAACTCAGAGTCAGTCAATTTAGAGCTGATTGAACTAACTCATTTCAGCTGTTCTGAAACCCAAAACTCAGAGTTTCCAATCTCAGGATAAGTCAACTCAGAGTTCAAGTTTTAACTCAGAGTTGGTTGAACTTCCTTATTGAAACAGGCCCCTGACTACCAATTATTACACGGAACCTTACCAAAGTATTCACATCATTCTTCATTTTCCATTTTATCGTGTTGAAGCCATAATCATTAACTAATGTTTTTCATTATATTTTTTCCCCTTGATTCTGATGCACCTCAATAAATTCCAATGCAAAAACATTTAAAATTAGAGGTTATTTTCCTCCCACATGCAAAATCATTGCAGTCTGTCTGTCACACAAAATTCAGTTGAAATACACTGATGTTTGTGGTGGCAATCTGAAAAAAAGCGAATACTTTTGCAAGGCACTGTATTAGTGTTTCCCAAGTACCACACTCATCAGTAACACCTACAATTATGACCTGATTTTAATTTAGAGAGTGAGAAATGAACCAGATTTGATACATTAAGAGGAAAGGGAGAAGAATATTTCTGAAATATTGAAAGAACTGCCTCATGGATTCATCTGTAGACAACCCCCTCCATAGAAATGCATAGAACAATGCAATGATGGCAGAACAAAGTGAAGTAATGCATTCATTCACCTCAACCTCACCAAAAGCACAGCATTTATTTGGTCTATGACGCTTTTCTTCTCCATTTTATTTTTCCTTTTCTTAAAAACAAACAAAACAGACTAATTATGAGTATTTATCCATACACATTCCTGCATTTTCTACTTTTGCCCTTCTGGAAAAAGAACCAGATGAGGAAATGTCATATTTAGTCTATAAACCTCTGTCCAACATAATACAAAAATATCTTTTTTTTTTCATGTTAAAAGTCTCTGTAGAAAAAAATGCCTGAAATATATAGATATCAAACATGTATATGTTTATTTGTATACAAATAAAATTTGATGCAAATTATCACCTCCCCAGCAATCCCCTAAAGCTATAGGTTTGCCCACATGGACTGAATCTTTCTGCTTTGTAACTCTGGAGTAGGTGTGGATGCATGGCACCGGTTGAGCAAATACATCAACAATGAACTTTGACAGCTAGACATAGATCAGTGACCAGACCACTGTTCATTTCCAAGCATTGGTGGCAACAGAAACAGTCCATGGTTGGGATATTCTAAAATACTATTTTATCCTTGTCGTATGAAGGCGGGCCTGTGGGGCAATCTGCACACATTTACCATTCTCAAAAGGCAAATTTCATCGGTTGAGTGGAGCTATTGATTTCCATTTCAGTTTGAACGGAGCAAAAATCTCCAGATATCAATCAAACATCGACTGACATCAGTTCATCCTTTGTCTTGTTCTTTTTTATCCAGAATTACTCCATTACTTTTGATGGGTTTTGGCAGCATTCTGACCTTTAATCCAATGAACAAACACATCATTAGCAGTGGCCGGTCTTCTTGCTTTGCCTCGTTTTTGATAGTTACGTCATTTCCAACTGCACAGCTGCCACCTAAAGGTTGTTTCATGTTCAGAGGAGGATATTGTCTCCTGTCAGTTCAGAGCCATTAGCACTTTCAAGCCCTAGAAGGCTGACGCTTGGCTTCAGCTCAGGCTTCTTCCTCCCTGATCAACTCGGGTCGATTAGTGTGTGAAGCCGGCATCCACTCCTCTCTGAGCTCAACGATCTCAATGGGCCCTGCAGAGGAGGAGAAAAAAAAGGGGACACACATCAATGTGAATATCTGACTGCACAGAAGAGAGGCACTTGACAGTCAGAGCAACAACAATTGCTTTTTATAGAGCCAAAAAGGTATTACCACCCCTTCACAAGCACACATTCACAGGTTATCAAACTGAATAGGAATGGTTTGACACATTTGCGTCTGAGGATTACAACCATTTTATGTCATTTCTTAGAGAACTGTCTTCTTTAGCCAAGTCTGGAGTAGTGGGTGACTGAGGCCAAAGCCCCTTCTGGGCCAGTGTTGCTCTCATGCATTTGATCCAGTTGTTGAGATATGTTCTTTCTCTCCAGAACACGATGCAGCTGAGGCCTCTGAATTTTAATTATCTTTAAAGGGCTGTGAAAGCCTCAAATTAAGCAAACCCTCCCCATCACTGCTCTATAGGTTGAACTGGACCATCATGGCCTTTGGCTCTTTCTTACACGCATGACCGCATGACTGCCCATTAGCGTTCTTTCTTTGTAATCCTATGCCTTGAAAAGCAAGCATATGTAGCCCTTTAATGTCATGATGAATGTAATCATAACTTGGTGAAAATCATGAACAGAGGAAACGATGATCCCAACAGGAATGTAATGCTTACAGCCAACATATTGACATCTAAATGTATTGTTTTGAAACGATAAAGTCATGATTACACATCATGCCATTGTAGACCAATACTTCCAATATCCAAAGTCCTGTTTTGGTTCATTTCTAAACCATAAACAAAACATTATAGATATACACTGATAAGTCTATACGTATATATTTATGTTGAGTATTGACACATATTGCTTTCACAGATTTCAGGCGAATAGCAAATTCTCTTATAACTATAAGAAGACAAAAGAACCTCTTAAATAATTTGTGTCAAGATTTCCTGCTGTAAAGGACTTTTAACTACTTATATTTGGAGGAAGGCCTGCCTTTAACTATGGATGTCCTATGCACCCTAATCTCACAATCACTACACAGTATATTCCATTCATCCATCCATCCATCCATAAAAATGGATAAATGGATAGATGATCGGCAAAGGAATGGAATGGATGGATGGATGGTTAGGTGAACAGACCAACTATTGATATGTGGAAGATAGATGAAGAGATAGACAAACAAAAATAAATAATTCCAGAATTGTCAAGTCAATGTATATAAATGAACCTTTGATACATAATCTCTTTTTTAGGAAAAGGGCCTTTATATCATGATAACTTGTTTAATGTTGTTTCAAGCTTCCTCATCATTTTATGTAATAATATTGAAATGTGGCTCATTGAGGAAAACAGGAATGAAAGTAAATTATGCGTGCACAACAGTGACGAGCAAACAGGACTATCACCAGCAGCAATCAGATAAAGAAACAACTGCTAATTAATATTCACTGCCAAAATGAGGGTCTCTCTCTGACTGTTGGGTTTTATCACTCGCTGTGCGACTTGCCAGGTTGGAAAATCTGATAAGACAACACGAGGTGTAGGAGGATAATAACCAGACATGTGGCTGTAGTTTGGCAGAAATAAATCCGAGTTAGCGGCTCTGTGATTCAGAAGTATAACCTTATACAAAAAAGAGCTGCACAGGTAACTTTATAAAGATGCTGAAGGTGATTTTAAATATAGTTTTTAGTGTAAACTGTAAAAGTTTTGGTAGTTTGAAGGTACAGTGGTTAGATACGTAAATCTTTAAGAAGTCAAACCCTGACTCTTTACTCCATAAACAATGAAATAAATGCTTTTTGCTCTACAGTGTTGTTTCTTTAATAATAGCAATCTCACCCACATGAACACATAGATGCATGCACGCAGAGAGATTGCTGTGCATACAGATGCTGCTGAGTGGGAGTGAAGCATCAGCCAAGGGGAAAGGAAACAACAAAATAAAGAAACTGTGAAAGCGAGAAAGACAGAGATACAGAGAGAGAAAAGAAAAAAGGGAGCTGGACTACGAATTAGAGCGGTGAGCTGTAGGGAGTGGGTCAGTGCCGTTGAGTCAGCCCTGACTCACGATGGAGGCGATGAAGATCCACCTCCTCCCTGCCCATTACAACTTTATCCTGGAGCCTAGAGCTCCGGAGCAAAACACTCCCACGTAAATGGTCATTCTAAGTCCTGGATGTATTCTATATGTGTCTTATAAATATAAAAGTTATTCCATTATGGTTTTGCTTGAGTACCCTAAATGTCAAAATACATTTCTTTCCAAAACATGGTTTAATTTGCGTCAATCGTCAGCTGTCTAGCATGGGGTCTTTACTGATTTTTCTGCAAGATTGCACCAATATTTAGTGACACTCTGTACCTCAAAAATAATAATGAGATTAAAGCTTGTGTGATAGGAGAACGTTGCAGTGGATACGTCACAGTTTGCAATATTTTCAACTTTTTAATCAACATTATACGGTAGTTAAAATGTTTTAGGTTATGTACCAACCAATTTGCACATCTAGAGCATGACGGTTTTGTTCCTTCTTTGCAAAATATTTTAAGCTTAGTCAGATTGCATGTAGAGTGTTTGTGAACAACAGATTCCTGTTTGGACATTTGAGGCTCACTAAGTGATTTTGTTTAGTCTCTAGCCACAGTTCAAGAATGGAACAGAGTTGGCTGACAAAAAAAATGCCAATGCAGATTAAGTAAAATAAGGTCAAAAAATATTATTTGTCTTTAAATGAGGCAGTTATGTGATACCATATGTATCTAACCAATAGTATTAACAGATTGGATGTTAATTTTTTTGTCTTTGATGAGAAAATGCGTTTCTTGCTAAAATCGTATTACTTTGAACTAATGGTTAATGTTATTTAATTATTTTATCATCCCTATGAGACTTTTTGGTGAGATAGGCCTCTCTTGTCAGCAACACCGTACACCTTAAAAAACACAAAGGCTACAACTCCTTTATAAAATCGAAGATAAACAGAATGAACTGGTTGGCAGAAATGCTCCCAGCTCCTCGTGGCTGCAGCTATATATAAAGATGACTTGTGGTTAAAGGAATGTCAAAGATACACTCAATCACTAGGGCTTCTCAAAAGGAAGCTCAAGCCACCCTTGCCTAAAGGTTTCTTTTTGAAAAATCAATGAAAAGAAAGGCAAATAATCCTCCTAGCCTTTTCTGAATCTGAACAAAAGTTTTACCCAGATTCCCCATGTGCTGATCTTTGATTGCAGATTTTCCTGCAGGAATCTCAACTTTTTGTCTCCATGTGGATTAGAAGGCTCTGGTTAGATATACAGAAAAATGACTTTCCAGTATGCTGATGACCCTTTTTTGGCAAAGTAGAACTTAAATCAAATCTAGGAGTTAAACTCTGGGATAAAAAAATTGCAGAGATTGGGACTGAACCAAAAACACTTGGATTGTGAACAAAGATAACAAGCTGATGGACCCTGACAAACGTTTTAATATCTTCATTCTGGCCTTTTCTGATGCTTTTTGTTCACTAAGAATCTCTAAATAACCTCTGAGACCTTCACAAACAGCTGGATTTATACCGTACAAGTGCAACTGTTAGCACCGGAGTATTATAGTATAAAGGAAAGAAGTACCACACTTTATAATGATGGTGTCCTTTTCTCAACTATTGATAATTATATAGAATTTGGTGTTTGTTGATCTCATAAAATTACAATGAAATATATAAATGTTTATCCTCCCAGTCTGAAAAAAGGTGAGTGTTCTACCTCACACTGTTTATAAATATTAATGCTCTACTCTAGGATTTCGAGGACCCAGGTGTCATCACTGGGTTATGTGAATTCTCAAATGAGCTCCTGTTTATTTTTATGCATTTCCAAACGCAGCTTAAATCATCCATCCAATTATGCAGGAAAATGAAAGGGATTGGTTATTTTAATGCAGAAGTTCCAGCACCACTGACAGCGCCCTGGGTTTTCACAGCTCACAGGAGCTGAATATAGAGTGGACACTTGCTGTGGTCCATTCTTCTCAGCACTAATGTGGACCCATGTGTACACATGTAGCAATCATCAAGACGACCAAAAGGAAGCAAACATAATGTATACAGTCAGGTCCATAAATATTGGGAGATCAACACAATTCTAATCTTTTTGGCACTATACACCACCCCTATGGATTTGAAATGAAACAAACAAGATGTGCTTTATCTGCAGACTTTCAGCTTTAATTTGAGGGTATTTACATCCAAATCAGATGAACGGTGTAGGAATTACAAAAGTGTGTATATGTGCCTGCCACTTTTTAAGGGACCAAAAGTAATGGGACAGATTAATAATCATAAATCAAACTTTCACTTTTTAATAGGTTGCAAATCATTTGCAGTCAATTACAGCCTGAAGTCTGGAAGGCATAGACATCACCAGACGCTGGGTTTCATCCCTGGTGATGCTCTGCCAGGCTTCTACTGCAACGGTCTTCAGTTCCTGCTTGTTCTTGGGGCATTTTACCTTCAGTTTTGTCTTCAGCAAGTGAAATGCATGCTCAATCGGATTCAGGTCAGGTGATTGACTTGGCCATTGCATAACATTCCACTTCTTTCCCTTACAAAACTCTTTGGTTGCTTTCGCAGTATGCTTTGGGTCAATGTCCATCTGCACTGTGAAGCGCCGTCCAATGAGTTCTGAAGCATTGGGCTGAATATGAGCGGATAATATTGCCCGAAACACTTCGGAATTCATCCTGCTGCTTTTGTCATCAGTCACATCATCAAAAAATACAAGAGAACCAGTTCCATTGGCAGCCATACATGCCCACGCCATGACACTACCACCACCATGCTTCACTGATGAGGTGGTATGCTTTGGATAATGAGCAGTTCCTTTCCTTCTCCACACTCTTCTCTTTCCATCACTCTGGTACAAGTTGATCTTGGTCTCATCCGTCCAAAGGATGTTGTTCCAGAACTGTGAAGTTTTTTTTAGATGTTGTTTGGCAAACTCTAATCTGGCCTTCCGGTTTTTGAGTCTCACCAATGGTTTACATCTTG